TAACTGTGCTGGTTTCTACTGTTTAAGTACTCAGCTTTAGAAACATCCTCTGGAAGGAGCCTTAATGGTGTAAAGTTTTCATTATTGTTTTTATGGCATTATGTAGAGACTTAAAAAAATTGCATGTGTTAGTGTCAAGTGCATTCTTAGCCTCAAGCTAAGTGGATAATGGAAATATTGTTGTCCCTACAGGTGGGAAGTAGAGGGACAGTAAAATAAAGCAACTATTCAGAGACACACAGAGGAGAGATATCTTTGAGACTACACATTTCCAAGTAGTGTGCTATCGACCCTAAATGAGTAACTATCCTTCATCTCAGGCTCTTGTACACTTTTATGGGTAAGCATATTCCTACTAGGAATTATTCTCTAAACCTCGTGCTGAGCACAGAGAAGCTCTAGAGTGAGTAAGACAGTTGCCATTGCTATGTGCATCAGAGGAGATGCACACCAGTGGAGATTCTTTCCACTCCTGAAAACAAAGCCAAAGTCTTCTAGTGTGATTTGTGTTGCTGTGTAATGGAAAGGGAAATTTTGTATTGCCTGCTGCACAATCAGCAGCTGTTCTGTGGCAATGATAACTATTCCAACCAAACAGAAAAAGCCCCTTTTTAATGCAGTTTAGCCCAAACAAGAAAATCCATATAGAGAGGACACAAATCATTATATTTATAATGACATTATATTCATAATTATAATGATCAAGAAATATTTATACAGCAGAGGAAATTCATATTAGAAAACACTGTTCCAAGTTAGCCAGGTGCACCCATAAATCTATCCTATAGGGCAGAAAACCACAGAGACTTGACCCTAAATTACCTAACTATTCTACTTTCTGACTGACCTTGCTGGCAGGACACACTTTGCTGTCCAGCAGCCGAGTTAAACATTATGTACATCTGAGATGACATTTATCTTAAGTAAACTTGCCAGACATAGTCACAGATATAAAAACTGCAACCTTTTACTTATTATTGCAAGAATACAAAGGTATTTTATTATACAAATAGACAATCTGGAGGGAATTCAAAGCAGAGGAACCTTTTCTTTTTCAAAGAATCTTTTTCAGAGACAGAAGGGAGAGAGAAGCATGCATGGTTTGCCTGAGTAAGGTTTGTCCTCTCATTCCTCCTCTGCACCATCTGTGCATCCACAGACTGTGCAGGCTGTGAGAATGAAGGAGAATGAGCAGAAAGTTGCCTCATTGTTATCCTGCAGCATCTACCACAAGGAATCTCCTGGCTTTGACATAGCTGCTACACCCAGGGTCATTTTTACACCCACTTGAAGCTTACACTACTACTGAAATGGTACACTGGAAACTGGTGTGCTGTAAAAACAACCTCTGTGCTGGTTATATTATGTGGGTGCTATTGCTGAGCTCTGTAAGTACCCAACTTGCCACAACAGAAATGTAAAGCTCTCCATCTACAATCCACTCTCTCACCTGCACTGTGACAAATCTCAGGAGGACAAAATAATAGTTTCTAAACTGTTGAAAGAGAAAACTTCAAAACTGAAAAGAAATCTCTAAGAAAGAGAAGTAACCATTAGAAGCTGCAAAAGTAGCAGGAGAATATTTCAAAGAGGAATTATTAGGCTTGGTAAAGCTTCCCAGAAATGAGATACAGGGAAAATCTCTGGCAGAAGGACCTCAAGTCTGTGAAATTTAAACCAGTGAAAGCCCTCAAGGGAGCAGCTTCTCAAACAGCTGGGATACTCCCTAATGCTCCTGGCAGAGAGAAGCAAACCTTTGTCTCACATTCCTTAATCTGCCAGTTACTTCCTTCAGCAAAGGACTCCATTTCTCTCCTTTACTACTCCAGGTACTATTAATGAATTTCTTCCAACAGAGGAGCTACAGGAATATATTGATCCTCTCTTGCTTCTTGGCTGGGCAAACTGGCTGCTGGGAAATGCTGCTCTTCACTGCCTTTCCTTAGAAGTATGGGCACTACTTCTGATTTCTTCAGGGTTTCTCAGGCATGGAGGTGATCAGGTCCAGGGACCAACACAGCTAAAGTGCTTACAACCTGGAACCTTTTGCCCCATAGCTCTCACCGACCTGTAACTGCTTGAGCTGGAAGGCCAAGCTGGTAGCAGGAGCAGGGAGAAGGGCTTTTATATTCTGTGGAGGCAGAGTGTTTCTTCTATTGTCTAAAAAGCACAGTTACACACCCTGTAAAGATTTCTGTATGAAGCGTGCAGAATGTCAAGGTATAATGGGTTATGATTATTTTATGTGACTACATCAGAAAAGGAAAATAGTTTATCAGTGTGTATGGGATTGTGTATGAATATTTTCATCAAAATCAGTTTTATTTTTCTAGTACAAGTTACTAGTGAGTCATATATTATTTTTCAGAGCTTAAGAAAGATGACTGGGAAATATATAACTGCTGCAAAATTCCCTTAAATTTACTGCACTGTGGTCTGATCTCTCATTAGAAAGCCTTTAAGAGTGTCCATTCTGAAAAATAAAACTTAAAAACTCCCAAAACTAGAAATCACCTAAACTACTTAGTAAATCAGCTCTTTTTAAGAACATGAGAGGAAAATAGCTGAATAGAAAAAAATAGTGACCTAGAACCTTTGAAGGGAGAAGATAGTACCTTAGCTGACTTCACCCCCATAAAAATGCTGGGGATTTTTGCCAGACCTAGGAACTAACACATCACAGGATATAAAGAGTTAAGTCACCCACACTTAGAAGCAGAAGGGATGAAGGAGAAGAGAAAGCTTTAAACAAGATTTGAAAACTTCTCCCCTTTGAGGCACAAAGAGAGAAACACTTGAAGAATTAGGGACCGGGACTAACTGGTGACATCCAAAGGCAAAACCGCTCAAGAAATGGCTCCAGCCCAGCTGCAAGGCAAACCAATTTTGATTAGGCTTTTCCAAAAAGCTGCACAAAATAAACTAATAAAGGGTGGCTAGCTGCAAGGAGGGCTGGGACTGGGAACTAGGAGAGCTCCCTCCTCTTCATTCCCACATACACATACAGGGTGGGAGGTGATCTCATCAGAAATTGTGTAACTCTGCCCACAGGCTTCAAGGCAAGAAATGTAGGAGATCCGGTCCTTAGATGTTCTGTAGCACTTTACAGTCTTAGGATCCATTCTGAGGCTTTAAGAAAATTGGCAATGCCCTTGCTACCACCATCTGCCTTGTCGTGGCTGGCCTGCTGAGCTATTCACAGTCAGCAGGAGGGGAAGCACCTCTTGGCCCTGTGTGACAGCAGAGGTGCATGATTCAGTACTGGTTTACATGGATGGTTAAAGGACTTGATGATGAGACACAAAGGATACTCAGTGGAGCCACAGGAGTTCAAAAGAGTGTGTAAATCAGGAATCAGAGCAACCCACAGGCAAGAAAACAAGACTGCGAGAACACAGCTTCCCTGGAAATATCCATTGCCTAAATTCTCTTCTTAATTTGACTCACAGATAGATAAGGACAGCTCAAAACACCTCTGAGCACTTGTTGGGACTCCTCCTGCATTATGGTATTGAAGTTTGGTCTCGGAGTACAAAGCAGTTAGAATGTATTTCTACTCCCATTCCTGACAAATCTAGTGCAGTGATTTCGTGGAAACCATAGTACTTTGTATAGGATTTGCTTCTTAATACTGCATACTCACTTTTTAATACACAATCTAGAACACAGAAATGATTGGTATCAGTAATACTGGAATCTTACATACTAGAAAACAAAAGGAGCAACAGAAAGTGTCCTTTTGCTGTAACTTTTGTAGTCAGTTGCTGCTATTCCTTCTAAGTTGCACATAAAAGCTGTTTCGCCCCTTGCTGGCTTTCCTGGAAATGTAATACTGTCCTTAGCTTCACAGCTGAGTAAAGTTTTGGTTCATTCTCTGTACATGATATCAGAACTGGTGCTAAACAGGGCAGTGCATTAACCAGAGAAAAGGGATCAAAAGGAGACAGCATCAGTTCAAGTTAAAATTCGTAGTTTCAAGCAGGGCAGTATGGAGACAGAACGTTGAAAAAGGGAGCTCTCCCATGTCCTGTCTCCCCTGAGAGATGGGATGTCTGCTCTGGTCCAGACATCCCACACTGCAGCAGTGTCAGCACCCTTTTGATATAAACAGGGAGCCAAGTCCGCTGGTATTAACAAGCCTGTGATTTCAGGCTTCTGCAACATCGGAGGGGATTGCTCTCGATAGAGTGAGGTGAAAATGAGGGCAGAGTCGGGCACAATACATTTGCCTTGGCTGGAAGCAGAAACAAGACCTTCAGCATTTCATTCAAGCTACGCAGAAAAATCCGTCACCGCAGCCTATTGCAAAGGCACGGCACTCTGCAGAAATGAGACTGGGCATGCCTGCCAGGAGCCTTCAGGGGGATGCTCTCTCCCATTTACCAAGGCACTGCATCACCTTCCAGGCTGACCCGAGTCGCTGCCAGTATTTACAGAGACATGGAGATGCGTCAAAGCCCGCTGGCACAGGTTTAGCGTGTCCCCGTGGAGCCGGGGATAGGCGGGGGCGCACACACGCAAGGACACGGACACGGACACGGACACAGACACGGACACACGGACACACGGACACACGGACACACGGACACACGGACACGCGCGCTGCGTGCGCGCCGCCCGCCGAGCTAAGGCCAGCCCCCAGCAGCGGGGCCATCCTGCTGCTGCTGCTGCTGCTGCTGCTGGATTTTTCCAGCCGGAGCATCCTGCCGGCTCTGCCGTGATTTATGGAAAGCGGTTTCTGACGCGGGCCTTTTTCTATTACGACAGGGACCCACGGACTGGAGGAGGCAAAGCTGCAGTCAGGGCAGGAGAAGTGAGGGAGAGGAAGAGGCGGGAGCAGAGGAATACGGAGCAGTGGAGAGGACAGAGGGAGAACAGGCACCGAGGCTCTTCAGAGATGGGTGAGTTATAACTAAGAGAGCAGGAAGAAAAGCAGAGAAAGGAAGAGAAGAAGAGCTGTGGGGAAGGGAAAGGGAAAGGAGATAAGAGACGGAGTCAGCTTCCAGAGGGCAAACAGCAGGAGACGAGTTCAGGGAACACCCCAGCATACGAAGAAGGACCTGCTCCGTCTGAACCATGAGCACAAGGAAGAGCTGCCCTCTGCCACTGGGGCAAGGAGACCAGGACGAAAAGCAGAGCGAGGGTACTCCTGAGCTGGAGCGACAGGAGTGTGAGATGGAGCTGAGGAACAAAGCTATTCTGCAACAAAAGAGGCGCCTCAAACAGGCCACCCAGTTTGTGCACAAGGACTCTGCTGATCTGCTGCCCCTGGATGGCTTGACAAGACTTGGCACCTCCAAGGATCTGGTGAGTCCACTGGGACCCCCCTATGAGAGGGTGCCTTCATTCCAGGTGGGAGCTGCTGTCAGGCTTTGTGACAGGATGATAGGTTCAGCAAAAATGAAACTTCCCTTCAGGATCATCAAGGAGCAGGTCAGAATGAGGGGAAGGAATTAATCACTCATTTGTTTGCATCCATCTTCTTGTGCCTCCCCACAAACTCCTCAGGCAGACATGGACTGGAAGGACTCTCCAGAATCCAAATTTCCATTCACCTAGTACCTATATATTTTCATGTGACATGTCCCATGTGGGACATCTCTGAAAGCCCCCATGTATTCCTGCATGATCCAGCTCCAAAGCAGAATGCTTCCTGGACTTGGCAGGGAGGGAAGTACAATTCATGAAACTCTGAGAGACTTATGTTTGACCTTGTCACCTTTTTGCATTTCTCTCTCTTCCCTGCACTATCCGGATTTATGGAGAGGCAAGCAAAGGGCAGGACTGCAAACCCGGCACATAGGCAGATGCAGTGCCTGGCACTCTGGATGACTCCTTTGGGGAGGAGGCATCAGAGCAAGGCTTCTGGGCATCTCCTTGTGGTGACGTGGATCAGGGAGCATCAGGGAGGGAGGTCTGTTCCAGGAGTCTTGGCAGCCTGTGGTCTGGAAGGGCTTCCCCAAGGCTGGAAGCAGATTCCCACAGGATCCATTATTGGCTCAACTGCACACATATTCTTGCTCCGGCAGTTTTGCTGTCCAACTTCTCTCCACTGTAGAGTTAAACTGCTCAAGCATGTGGAGTCTAAATCATTTTCCCAAAAGAGGGCTCACGTCTGCTTGTGACGGGGGCACAATCACTTGTTCCATCTGTGGCAGTGGGTGTCATAAAAGATCTTGCCCCTCCCTGCAGTCTGTGCTTCCCTCAGACAATTGCAGCAACACCACAGATGCTCTCGTGTGTGTGCCTCCAGTCATTTGCTAGCTCCCGAGGCATGCAGCGGCACAGGGCCACACGTGTGTGGGACCGGCAGGTCCCTGGCACTGGATGGGAGTTAAACCTCCTTGCTGAAACATTGGGGTGCAGAGGCTTGCAGACGGGGGGGCAGCACCACGTTCCCATGCTGGCACATCCTGCAGCTCCTGCCACCCTCCCCGCAGCTCCTTCAGCTGCCTCAGCAGCTGCTGGGATTCCTGGCATGGCAGGGTCAAGGACAGCTCCTCCAAGTCCCCCTGAGCTGTCACCTCACGTTCTGCAGCTGCACACACGGCTGTCATCAGGGACTGGCGTGGACTGTCCCTCCGGCCCTGCGCACAGTCTTGGCTGGAGTGCGAGCAGCGTCACACCAGTGCTGGCTTAGTGAGGAGCAGGGACTCTCCTCCCCGTGGGGAAGAAGCTCTGGCCGCACTGGAGCCCGGAGAGCCTGCAGCACTGCAGCTCGAACATCCCCTCGGGACCACAGCCAGGCATGACCCTGGGCCTGTCCCAGGGCAGGGTATGGAGATGAGCCACTTCTGAGTCTTCTAGTGAGCGTTTGCTGACCCCAGCCACAAAGGCAGGCAGTAACACATCTACCATCTTTGCTTTTGGATTGACTCTTGTCACCATGCCTCAAAGCGACAGCTGGCACCCTGAAGTCCCAAGGGATTCCTTGAGCGAGACAGGCCCTGTCTAAATCACTTGCCACAAGCAGCACTCCTGCTGGAATTAACCATTCCAGGCAGGAGAACTCGTTGTATGCTGACAGCATTTGGTCACTGCAACCCACTGCAAACTTCATGTTTGGTCAATAACAGAATAGCTGAAGCATTTTCACCATGGACCTAGGGAGCAGTGAATAAAACATGACATGTTTTTTTCACACATGGACACTTTGCTCTGTGTTAGAGGGCACAAAATGAAGTGTGGCTGCTGTGCCAAGTTCGCACACATAGTACCATACCTGGGGTGGTACCCAGGTATGTGGTACCTCCGTTTCTGCTTTAACTTGGAGCAAAAGAAGAACCAGGTCTTAGATTTCCAAGATTTCTTAGGATTTCTTAGGAATTCCAAGAGTTGCAGCAGTTCTTGCAACTTGATGAGACGCTGAGATACTGCTGCGATGTTTTGGGCACTGCAAATCAGAGTCCAAAATACGCTTTTAGCTTATTTCTCTAGACACTTCTCCAATGCTATGAAAACCCCATCTCTTTTTCCTAAATTGATCTGGCTCCCCCCTGGAGGACAGGAATATGAAAAAGGTATGTACTGAAAATGAAGCAGCAGTAGGAAGTGCTGGAGAGTTTGATTTGGAGAGAGAGAGTAAAACACCCCTGACTCCTATAGCACTTACACTGGGAGGAAAATATAATTAACTCCCCAAAACAGGTCTCCATTGACAGTGCCAGAGACCCCAGCTACGGCAGCTCCATGCCCTAAAATTAGACCAGGGCCTCATGTAATTTAAAATAAAATACCTGCTTTCTTTTCGCAGTCACAGGCTGTTACTTTTTGCCATTCTTTTTTGTGTATTCTGGGTGTGCACTCAGCTTATGCAATGCATCCAGCAGTGCCTGCAAATTTGATGGACCCATCATGTCTCCAATAATGAATAATTATATATTTCTGTGGAGACCTCATGTTTCCAGCTTTGCAACAAAAAGCATGATCAGTTTTGGTTTTGTTTTTTTAATAGCAAAATGAAAAATAAGTAGGTACAAGAACTAAAATATTCTAGAAGTACCAAGAATGTCTGAAGATCTGGCGTCTCACCTCCCAAAAATCAAGATCCCCAGCTCATACAATGTCACTAATCATAGCAAGGCCCGGAGGTTTCACTTTGGAGAACCTGGGAATCTTCTCTGATCCCTGTAAGGGCCCTGGGAGGGCATCCTTTTCAGCTCCTGGCCACAACACTCACAACATCCTCCCTTACCATCCTCTAAATTTAATTGTTTCTGGCCAGTCCAAGAGCTACAATGCTCCACTTCTCTGTCTCACTGGTGAGAGAGAAGATAGGCAGGGCCCTGGGAGTCTGCTCTTAAATCGGATGCCTCTAAAATCCCAAAGCTCAGCTAATCCCCACCAGCACTTGGCCTCTTCCCAGCCTGAGTGACAAGAAGGGGACAGAGGTGGCAGCTGCAGAGGGCTTGCTTGTTCTATGGGAAAGGTTGCAGGAAGAGGGAAAGATCCTTTGCATGCCAGATCATGAGAGGCAGGAGGGAGGATGGGAATTTGGAGACCTGCTGTTTGATCTCTGCCCCTTTCCCATGGCCCAGATGTTAGCTGGCAGCCAAACTGGCACTGTGCTCAGAGTATTTAGGGAGCTAAGCTCAACGGCCAGCTGTTCTGTGGGCCAGCACAGTAGGCTGGGAAAAGACCAGGAACAGAGGGATATTTTTACCCCACTTTTTCAAGTGCTGCAGTGTTTGTCATGCAGTATGTGAACCATCTGACTCTCACCTTTTGACTGGCAGGGAAACAGAGGCATGAAGGACTTGGCATCTTGCAAAGAGCAATGCTGAGTGTGACCAAAGAGCCAGTGACAGCCATCCTGCATCAACCACAAATCTGGCAAATCTGGCAAGTCAGGGTGCTTCAAATTGCAGTTTGCACACTTCTCTGGCCTCAGCTCTCTGGCCAGGCATGAAGCTACTCCAAAACACAAGTAACCTGTGGGATTAATGCAGCCCAGCTTATTGGCAGGTCTGGTCTAGTTCAGATGTTTGGCCTGCCCATTGACAAGATCCTGCATCAAACTGCTCCACCACCTGGGAGATAACTTAATTTTTTCTTTTTCTTTAGAAAGATAAAAGCAAGTTTCAGCTATAGCACATTAACCCCTTTAGATTGTCTGCCTTTCTTCAAACAGGCAGCTGTTACTGGGAATGCCATGGCCAGTCAGAGCAGCTGCTCTCCTGCAGAAGGGCCGTGGGGCTGAGTACATGGAGAAAGGACCAAGCTACCTCCAACAGGCACCTGTTTCATTGGTGTTGCCCATTGTTGATTGAGTAGCTGTGCAGGGACTGGATGGAACAACACTGGGCAAAATTTAGAGCATCTGATGGCGGGAAGCAGAGACAGACTCCAAGGAACATTAAAAGCTCATTTTAGTTTCCTTCTCGGGGAGCTTCCTGCTTCACTACAAATAATTGCTTGTACACCTAAAATATCTGCAGTCCTGCCTTCTTGCCCACATGTACATCACACATATGCTGCATTCCTCGTGCCCTCCCACAATGAAAGGTGTGAATGTGCCTGGTGGGATGTCAGCACACACCCAGCAGGCAGTGCATTGCATTATGCTGAACAGGAATGAGACTCTGCAGTGCATGGTTAGCTGAAGGAACATATATGTGTGGGGACAGCATGCATCAGGCATGTTCTTCTCCTCCAATAATTGCATCCCAGAGACCTGCCTGTCACAGACATCTCAACACTTTTAACACCAAATTAGCAGCTACAGAAAAAAAAAATCTGGAATTTAAAGCAAGTTTTTTTGGTTAAGCATGTCTTTCATCAGGACGATCAGTTGGGTCAAGCATTTACAACCTGCATCCCTGAGCTAGTAAATGTCCTTGTCCTTAGCTCCATACTTAGCTGGGATTTCTCTTTCTTTGTGATGGAGACAGCAGCCTCATAGCGTGGTCCAGCGGCGCCTCTTGGAAGGCAACCTGAACAAGCTGCGGGGCGATGCCAGGGGTCAGTCTGCACGGCTTCAATCCCCGCTGGCAAAAGACCAGGATGAAAAGACGGAAAAGGGAGAGGACAGGAGAAAAGAGACTTCACCCCTGCTAATACAGTGCCAGGTAAGGCAACAACACGGTGCTGCTGATTTCACAGTGATGGCAAATTCTCAGAGTTCCAGCTGCCTCCCTCCCAAGGGCCATGATGAGTTATAAATTGCAAAGCCAGCTGCAGCCAAAGAGAAGAGATTTCATGCATGGCCTCTCTCAGAGTCTGGATGCAGGTTTTCCAAAAGCCAGAGGAAAGCCTTTCTGCTACATGCCTTCTAATTGCCCATATTTGAAGTTCAATTACCTTAATCACATCTCCTTCCTTTGAAGGCCAGCCTTTCCATGATATGAGGTATTTTATAACTGCACATAGAAGCAACGAATGTCTCCTTATCACTTGAAGACAGGTGCCTCAAGCTGATCTACATTTAACTAGTTCCAGTCTAGTCTGATTCTCTCAGGTGTCAAAGGACCTCCTCAGAAAGTGGCTAACTGTGCTCCAAATTAGCACAGCTCTGTCTCTTGATGGAAGCAGTATTTTTAGCTCCCTTTTCTTCTTATATCCTCCTATGCAGCAGAGCACACTACTCCCTGGCCCCTGTAGTTAAAGAAAACACATCCAAAAGCTGTGGCCCATGAAAGAGGGATGGATGGTTAGAACTGCACAGTAATATGCAGATATGAGACTCACCAAGATACAGACCTGTTGTAAAAAACCCATTTTAAAACTGGTTTTAATTCAGTTACCTGTCCTAAAGAATGTCTCCCATATCTGAGTGTAAAGGCTACGTTTCCAAGAAAAACATATATACCTTTGCAAATTCATTTGGCACAATAAATTATGATAGGAACACAGCCTAGTAGCAAGTTTCTGAAAGGCTTAGATCAGGATCTTATCTCAGTACCAAGCAAAGCCACTGTCTGGTTTGTTTTGCAGCCTTTACTGCTGCAGTTAGGTATGCTTACCCTGCATTTCAGACTTTCATACAGCTGGGTTAACATAACCACACTTGGGGACAGACTAGTAGGATGAATGGCTCTCAGTGTAATTTCTCCAATTACTTGGAGCCTGTTTCTGAGCAAATACAGGTGTTTCTTTTTCTTTAATAGCCTCTCCTTATTGTTCTGCAAGAGGAAATGTAGTGATAAAGGGTGGGGTTTCTGCCAGGCATGCACACTGAATAAGGACAGGCATGTACAGGTATTGTATCCCAGGGGCAGTAGCTAAGTCAGTGTTACAGTCCACCAGTCATTCTCTTTTGTGTTTCTAATGGACCGAACCCCAGCTGTCACCCACATTTTATTTTCCCTCACAGAGAAAGGTTAATGAGCATTACAAACAAGGAAATAGGTCTAATGCTGCATGTAACACGCCCTGAATTCTGCACAGGCTTTTCTCTCTTTTTCTGCCCTTCTTAGGAGCCAGTCACTGTTTGTCACACTTGATCTTACACTGAAGGAAGGGAAGCTCTCCTCCCCTTCTTTTTGTCTTGCTGCTTTTGATGTTCACATTTGTGAACTTCAAAAAGCCTCTCCTGTCAGTAACAGAGCTGTGGCAGGAAATAGGACTCAGGCTGCCAGTTCATTGGAACCAGAGAGGTGAGATAATACCTTTTGGATATCTGCTTGATTATAGTGCAGTTTTTATTAGAAATGGAGCACAGCCCCAGAGAAGTCTTTTTTTCCCCCCTGACTCATGAGAAAAGATAAACTATCATTTACACACAGACAAGTATGCTGAAAATCTCAAAGTGGTAACAAATGCATCACCTGCCTTGTAACTGAACTGACTAGGGAATAAACCCAAATATATGTAGATTTCAGTGATACTGATCCTGAATGGAAATTCAGGCAGTAAGTGTTTTCACTCCAAAAGGTTTTAGTTGCCTTTTATCTAAGGCCTTTTAAGTCCCAGAGATCACAGACAGACCTAATCTATAATAGTTAAATAGAATAGAATAGAATAGAATAGAATAGAATAGAATAGAATAGAATAGAATAGAATAGAATAGAATAGAATAGAATAGAATATACTGAAGTCACTCACCCTCCTATTTGCTTAGGTGGGTTGCCCAGATGATACATTAGCAGAATTGCCCCTTTTTGTGACAGTTTTTGAAAACCACTTTGGAAAGCTAGTCACGACTGGCATCTGCAACATAAAATCAAGCCATTATTTCTTGTGTAGGGGCTTGTCTCTTGTTGACTTGGAAATAGATGCTGAAAGATTTCACTGCTGTAGAAGGCCAGTTTTCCTCTATGCCAAAGCAGGGATTGATCAGCCTTTTGTTTGCTAAAGCAGCTTCTTGACATCAGATCCTCAGAACTGACATAATTTCAGAAATCTCAGCTCTTTATAAATAGTTATCCTTACTGATCCCCCTTCCCCTCTTTCTTGGAAATTTCCATAATTGACATTTAGATAAAAAATAAAGATTACTGGTAGTAACAGACTGAAAAATCTGGAATAGGGATGAGAGTGGGTAAAATGATAAGAAGTCCTCCTAGTCCAAGAAGCCTTGCAGTGCTTATGAGCTGCCTGCGTTGTATTTGTGTTATGCTGGACCAAGAACTTTCCTCAGGCTCCTAGTGAGTTCTCTAGGGAAATGGTTAGTGGTGAAGAGCTGTTTAGACTCAATGAGATTAAATGTTTTCTACAGAATAATCACTGTCCTGTTATATCCTATCAAGTCTCTAACTTGCAGATTTCCCAGCCTGCTATGAAGCAAAATTCAGTAATCTGCCTAGTGATACAGCTTAGGCTTATTATAACAACAGCAGCTCATGCATCTCAAGTCTGTTGCTCCCGAGTGATTCTTTAGCAATTGCTATCCATGCTCCAAGTCTTTTTTCTGATTTGAGAGGATGTGGAAGCAGATGTTTGGCATGCACCTGCACCCTGTGCTTTATCTTGCCTCTCTGCTTAGTCTGGCCCCAGCCTTTTCAGGCAGGGCTGATGTGTCAGGGAGGACCAGACAGCACAGACATTGCAGAGCTCTAAAATCAGAAGGGAGACATTTTGCCACAGAATCACAGAATGGTTTGGACTGAAAGGGACACTCTTGGCATTGTCTGTTTGCAGCATTCCAGTATTTCTCACAGGAGTTGTTTTCTTCTTTCTAAATACTCACAGATAGCATATTTTTGAAAATGAAATCTTGGAAATACTGGATGTATCTCTCTGTGATGATTAATAATCATAAACAGGCTTAGATAAGAAATCATGAAATTGAGACATTTTCCTTGACCCTGCTGGTGCTGCACTGAGCCCCTCATAGCAGTACTGATCTGCTTAAGGTGCTCAAGCATTTATACTTGCTGGGACTGAGCATAAGAGTAGAGAAGAAGTGGCAGGTCTGTTGCTACTCCTGAGTGGTTCATGTCAGAGTACCATAGTGGATGGAAGAGAAGGAATCACAGGAAAAACACAAATGATAGTAGGAATACAATGAGCCTCCCAAAACGAAAATTTTGTGGGTGAGTTTTTTCGTTTTTTTGGATGGTGGTGAAAAGACAGAGCCTTGGAGAACTAGGCCATCAAGAATAGATATGATTCATTACTGTAGGTAAAGATGTATTTTGTAGATGACAGTTACTCCATCTTTTCCAGTTCCTTTACTAAGCCCTGTTCCATCTTTTTTTCCCCCCTGAACCTATTTCTTATTGATGTCCTTGACGTCCTTATGTTTTCAGACCCCTAAAATAAATGTAACCTGCTGTAACTTCATCACCTCAGGACTGCCATTAAGGACCTCTCTGCAGAGGGGACAGAAAACAGATGGCAACCACATCTCCTTTTCTCTTTCAAGTTCAAAGGGGTAAAGAAATGAAATGAGCAAGGCACTGGGAACTATTCCAGTAAAATCATACACAGGCTACTTGAGTAATGGGCAGGGCACAGTCTCTTTCTTTGCTAAATGACACCAGCTGTGACTACTGTAGTATCATGTCTTATATCCTTAAAGAGCTATAAAGGAACATGATGTAAGGCCTACACAAAAGAGTAATCTCTTGATTAGACTGTGTCTTGGATTCAGGAGTCACATAGATTTCCCAGTTATCTTGGGAACTGCCTTAAATTCAACCTCATTTCAGGTATGTTTGTCCTGGGTGCTCCTGCTTCTTCAGACTTCTCCCTCTGGCAGCTTTTCTACTGAGAACAAATGTTTAACTGTGGGATATTGTTCCCTGCAACACCAGAAGAAATGGAGAGAGGAAATCCAGAACAACGAGCACATGCTTGTATTCCTTTAGAAACTTTTGCATATTACTTACTGCTCTGGTAACAAAGTCCATGTGGGTTTTATGAAAAAATTCTCTAATTGTGCATCTCTTGACTGGAACACCGTTAAGTTAAAGTCACTAAGATAAGTGTCTGGGCAATCAAATACAAATGAAGGAAGACAAATTCAAAAAGAAGTGTTTGAGAGCGATTTGCAGAGCACTGGGGAAACCATCATTGTCTTGGATGAACCTCCTGCCTTCTGACTATTGCCTAGAACACAACATCTTGGCTATGTTGCTCAAAAAGTCCAAGTCTCCAACACTGTTGGCAGAGTGAATATGCCAATTTTGAGCCTTCAGTAATTATCTGTTGCTGTTTCTTCTAGTGTCAAGGTCAGGCACTGAAAGCGACTGTTAACACTGGGTGTCTACCAAACCTCATCTCCAAAAGATGTTTCAACCAGCTGGGGTAAGTCTTTGCACAATATAAAAGGCAGGATGGCTAAAGGAAAAACAATGGCAAGAACCCAGGCACTCTGGATTCTCAGCCCCAGTGATAATTACTGGCAGGTTTGCATATGCACATGGCTGTTTAGAAGATGCAGAGGGTGGGCTCCAGGGAAAGGCATTAGAGCACTAGCAAAGTTGTGTGCAGACCCCAGACTCCAAGGCAGAGCTGTGCAATTCTGTCTGCATGTCCTGCAAGGCAAAGCTGCCCAGCTGGTGGCTGGTGGTGAGGTTTTGCTTGTTGAATCTACCTCCAGACATACTGTATGCAAGAAATTCCCCCTCTTGTGGGCCTGTTCCCAGTGAGACCTAGAACTGCCATCAATGGAAAGTCCTGGCTGTCCTCCACTTCCTCTGCTTGAGTCAATAACACCTCTTGTGTCCCACAGGCTGGAAGAAGCGTCTGCCATGGACTGTGGAGACCTCTCTCTTCCCATCCCCAGCGTTGTTGGCCGAGTAGAACATATGGAATTGAAATTTGGCCAGGAGACAGTGCTGTGTTCAGCACTGGTTGTAGGTGAGAGTGCCAGCCCCTCCTCTCCCTTGTTTCTCCTGTGTCCTCTTGCCCTGCCAAGGGCATTTAAAAGACCTTTGGAAAAAGCATAACATGATGGAAGGTTGGTGACGTGGCCACCTTACTGTAGGCCAACATCATCATACACGGTGAATACCCTCAATGTAACTAAAGGCAAAGGGCATAGGAAGGGTACACAGAAAACACTGAAAGTGGGGAGAAATTAGATGGTTTTTCAGCTTTAACTAAAGATGTGAAAAATTCTCATTTCGATTCTAAAATGGACCTTCCATATAATTCTGCAAATGGCTTGATTAATCCTCTGGTGCCTTATGTTCTCCTATGGAATGGGCAGTTGTATCTCTGGCTGCCTGGAAGTCATCAGAGAAAGTAACAGAGGGTACAGTCCTTTTCCTAGAGTGCTTCTCTGCGTGCTCCTCTGCCTCTGCTGCAGGGAGCATCCTGAAAGAACCAGGAAGCCCGAGAGTGCTGCGTGTCCTTCAGTGTCCTGAAGCAGGACCCTTTGAAGGAAGGAGCCATAGGAGACAAGGTCAGGCCAGTGGGCACTGAGGCAGACCCAGAAAACAGCAGAAAGGCTGTATGTTCTGCATTTACATCAAGCTGTGCATATGCTGAAAACAACGTGGTTGTCTTTTTTCCTCCCAGTCTTTCTCCCAGCTTTATCTTGCTTTAATCTGCTTCCCCAACTTCAATGAGTCCTGTTCATCTTCCAAGGCCTCTCTTGCTCCCTCTTTTCATGCACATTCTTCCAACGTTCCTAAGTTATCTAGAAAGAGCTCGTCTTAAACACTCCAGCTTGCTCTTCTTTCCGGGTTGCCACTGTGCTTCTTCTTGCCCTTTATGGGGAATCTGTAGTAGTACCAGCACAGATGAATTTACCCTATAGCTACTACCTACTACCCATTTTGTTGGGACATGGAAATGGCTGCCTGGAAGGAGCAGAACTGCTAGACCTGTGTCTTTCATCTATCTCCCTGTGCACACAGTGCTCTCACTTATGTGGTTAAAAATAAATTATAAATTACAGACATTGGTTACAGGGCAAGCAGGCCTCCAGGAGACACGGGAAGTGTTAATGACATTACAAGTGGCTGCTGATTCCTGCAGACTCCAGGACCTGGAAATTCCTCCTTAGCTGCCGCTTTAACTCCTGGCATCTTCGATGTTTACTGAAACTGAAGACTTGCAGCATTTACGAGTAGGACAAGTTACATGGAAAAAAAAACACCTTAATAATATTATTTAATAAGATCAGATAGATTGCAGCCATTAGGTACAGGCTTTGGTCAAACAACTGAACCAATAGACTTCTCCTCTTCATTTTCCCATGCTTGTTGTCCCCTGATTCACCTGCTGCTTGCCTTCTGACTTTTGTCCTTCCCTTACACAGCCCACAGTAAGTTTTATGGGATCTCACAAGGCCCTTCTGATATCTCATATTAAGTTTCAAACAATCACACAAAACCCCTCAAATTTATCTCACAGTAGTTATGATAATCATGATTTCCTTCTCTTATCAGCTGCAAAGTTCAATTTGACCATCTTCAGGACTGTGCTTAAAAAGCTCCTTTAAAGACTCATCAGTGAATGGCAGAAGAGAGAGATTTTTGTCACTGTTACCATCTGCTTGTTAATGTTGGTGTGTTTAACTCATCCATTTCTTCGTTATTTTTTATCTGCTTTATATTGAAGAGACTATAACCATAAAAATTTATGAATCAGATGTTCTTGTATTTCATCTCCTTTTACAGGAGAGACACACTTTCTTTAATGAGACACTATTACATAGTCGAAAGCCTGATCAGTCTCTTCTCTCTTCTCAGATGATGAAATGCTGGAGTTTTGCATTGGCCTCCAGACTCTGTTGTCTCTCAAGGTAAGGAACAGCTCCTTGCTTACTGCAAGCCTCCTCTCAGGAAGCTCTCCAAGATCTGCTTGCTGTAAGCATCAGAATTACTTAATGTCCAGGTCTCTCAGGGCAATGCTTGTCACACAGCTGCTTGACTGGGTGCAGTATGCTCTGAGTCACTGATTCCCTTTCAGTCCTTAAAGGTTTCAAGAAAGCAAGCACTCAGTAGGATACTATCACATCTCCCATTGTCTGTATTCCTGCCATACAAGTTGCAAGTGGCAAGAGGAAACTAAAGAGGAGACAAGAAAATGCACGAGTTAGACCTGTGTTGCCCTTTGAAGGCAGATGAGAACAAGCTCTTCCCTTGCTTTAAGCCAAATGAAGCTGTATGATCACATTCAGTGTCCAACACTTGCTGGCCATGAGTGAAAAGAGTCCTCTCTTTTTGTCACCTTGGCTCAGGGTCAGTGTCCTGCTGAGCCTGGCTCCTGGGTGGCTCAGGATACGGTTGCAGCAAGCTGGCTCCTGCCTGTCACATATATTGTGGCCACATGCCAGGCTCATAAAACAGGAAAAACAATGGGTTGAATGGCTGAGTGATGTGAGGACATCAACTCAGAGAGGGTCATAGGAAGAAGGGAGGGGAAATGGCCCTATGAAGGGCTTGGAGATTAATCCCATCACTGGGAATTGGGGGAAGGAGGAAGCATGTGGGATAGGGAAGGAAAACTGTAAGGTCTCTACAAACACAGAGAGGTATTAGAGGTTCTCCCCAGTCATAGACATCATGAGGTTTACTGTATGAAATGTCCACCAAGTAACTGTCTCTCTCCTTTAGTGTTGCATCGACTTGGAGGAAGGAATCCTGAGATGCAAAGCACTGAGTCAGGAGCTGCCTTTTCTACATGCCTCTGAAGAGCCTGGTCAGTGACTGGTTGCATTCCCCATGTCTGGAGACTTGCTGCCACGAGAGAGAGATGAGGGTGAGGCTCCCATGCCCCTAACCTTGCTGAGTTCTAGGCTGAGGTATTCAATGGGGAGTGAGAAAAAGGAAAGTGGGTGCTGGAAGCTGTCACTGGGAATGCCTCAACTCGAGATATCCCTCCTTTCAGTGGACCCTCTTGCTTGTCCTGATGTGCCAAGTGGGCATTTTGTTCTTGTTCTGCTATTTGGCCCTAGTCACTCCAGTTTCTGGTTCTGTAATAAATTTATGCTAGCCTTCTAATGACTTTACAATACACTCTGTTCACAAGAGAGTCTCTGTGAACAATCTCCAGTTGTTCTATTGGCAAGAGAATAGCATTTGCTCCAAAGACCTCCAAAGATTACCACAAATGTTTCTCTTCTCATTGCCTCAATGCCAGTGTACACCAGTCCTGTTTCTTTGTTGGAAGGGCTCTGTTCCCTTTGCCTGTACTCTGGGAAGCTGGATTTTGCTGCTTTTTTCTGGCTCAGAGCAGAACAGAAGTATTTTCTTGGGAAAACTTTGTGGCAAAAACAGTTTTAGAGTTCTCGGTTCCAAGAAACCTTTGCAGAAATGTTGAGTGCAGACACCTGAAGCACTGACAGGGGCTTGGGCTTTGCCATTGCATCCCTGGGCACTAAGCTACATTATATGAATTGCAAGGCTTACCATCTCTTGGTGTTATACCCTGTAACTAGACTTGCACACCCTGTTCTGGTCAGGCCACTCCTCTCTGCACTCCAGCTGCTAGAGCTGCACCCCTGTTCCCTCTGCTGCTTCATTGGAGATCCTGCCACTCAGATCAAATGCCATGATGAATTACAGCACCGAGTCTTCTGCTCTGTCAGCTCCTTTCTTTCAACTTGAAATCCAGTGATTAAACACAGACACATCATCAGCCTCGAGTCCTGGCATCACACAGCCCATCAACTTTGCTTCTCTTGCACAAAATGAGAACCTGTAGTACCAGCTCAGGTTAGAGAACTGTGAACTCATCTGGAATGTTAAAGGTGATTAAGTCACTTAACAATTGGGTTTATTTAATTTCCTTTTTTTTTTTTCAATTTCCATCCTAAAGCATAGCTGTATTAAAAATACATAATCTATTCTTAACTAGCTCTAGGAAAAATGCACTAGATCAGGGCTTGTTCCATGCCTCATTGGCTACTGATTCACCACCCAAACTGCTAAATGTACCTTTATCTACCCTTAAAATGCTATGACAACCCCATTTTGTCTATTTTCCTGGACGAAACACCACTGACTCTCTTCCTTTTTTGTCAAACTGGTCATTGTCCCTGTTGTGCTTCTGAAAAAATATATGTATGCAATTTTTCCTTTTTAATTTTTGTTTGTTCTTTTCCCTACAGCTGTATGCTGTAGTTTAATACATGCTAAGGATATCAGAGTCAAGCCTGGCTGGTATGATTTGGGATTCACTTACCTGAGATAGCTGGCATGACTGGCATCTGCTGCTCCTACACGAAGCATCTCATTTTACAGCTTCTGATACATTCCTTGACTTCTTTACCACTCTTCTACTTGTGCATCTGACTATTTCTGGCTGCATGAACTGCTTTCCATTAATCTCTTGAGTGACACCAACAGTTCTCTCGTTTAGAAAGGAAAACATGCCTACTCGATGAGCCTGTCTTCCAAAGTAGCAGTAATTCCTTTTGGATTTGTATCACTTGCATGCCTGACTGGCTTCTCAAACCCAGGGGTCTAGAAAGCTCATGCTTGTACTAAACCATCTTGTATTCTAGCTGCAGTCTATGTGGTACCCAGTCCAATTCTGCTGACAAAATCTTGCTTGTGATGGACAAAACATCTGTTTCTATATGCATCAACTCACCCAGTTTCCAACTGTAACTGCCCTCTAAAAACAGCATGTAGAACAAGGGCAAATAATCTATACAGACAGATACCATGTCCATTACAAATCTTATTAGTTGTTAATTTCTATGATTCATTAAAAAAACCCCTCTAAACCACAACCCAAAAGCTGACTTTAGCCCTAACCCAAACAATAAACCCTAACAATGACCCTAAATCTAAGATATAGAGCACTAAATCCTAATCCTAAATTTAACCCCTAAAACACTCTAAAACTTAATTCTAACACCTAAATCAAATCACCACCCCCTAACTATAAAACTTAACATTAAGCATAACCCCCTAAATTTGACACTGGAACCCCAACATTTACCACCTGACTTTAAACTTAAACCAGAAACCTAATCATAAAGACATTAACTAATCTCAAAACCTAACCATAACCTCCAACCCGAAACTCTAAGCATTAAGCTAACCCCAGCCCCTAAACCTAAACATCAAGGCCTAAACCTAACCTCTAACTCTAAACCCCAAACCATATACCAAAACCTAACCCCTAACCCCAACTCTAAACATATCCCTAACCCTACACCTAACCACAACCACCTAACCCTATCTGATGGCTTTTGTAATTTCCTACAAGAGCCTGCTTCCCTCCAGAGTGCCCTGGGGCTTTTGCTGAGTTTTGCTTTGCTGCCCTGCTTCCTTACAGTGTCCCAGGGCTTTTGCCAGGCTTTGCGAGGTTCATACGGAGCCTTGCTTCCCTGTGGAGCACCACAGGGCGTTTGTTGGGCTTTGCTGATGCCCAGGGAGGTCTCTGCTGCCTTCCAGAGTGTCTGACAGCTTTTGCTGGGCTTCCCTGGTGCCCACAAGTGCACGGGAAGGGCCACCAGCATCTCTAAGTCTTGGCCACTTCCTTGTGAGATGAGTGCCTGGTTTCAGTTTTGCAGCTGGGCCCTAGCTAGGGGAAGGGTGTAGGTGAGTAGGAGCCTTCAGACTGAAGCCAACAGGAACCTTTCCAATGATTTAAAAAGTCTTGGATCCTACAGAAAACTGCCATGACTTTGAGTTGACAATTCTGTTTTGACTACTGCCTATCACTTGCAGCCCTGCAGATATCTGTACTCTAGCTGCTGCTCGAATTCACCAGGTGCTGTTCCTACATGTCTGTCTTGAAATAACTGCTTTTGCTCACATCCAGAACATCCCCCAGCCTTTCTGTGGTTCACATGCCTCATATCCTAAACCACTAGCAGTTTGGGCTCTTCTGTGAATTAATGTGCTAGAGTAGGTGAAAATCTCCAGTCTTATCTATTCCTCTCTTCTCTGCTTAATGACTCCTTTGCATCCTCCTTTCCTTCCGCTCACACTGGTGAGTAAAAATTTCCTTCAAAAAGGAATTATTTTCTTTTTGGAGAATCCTTTTAACATTTGACTTGTACCCTGGTTGCTAATACACTTGCACATTGTGCCAGAATCTTGCCAGCTTTTCCTCTTTGTTGTAAACAACTGCATGAATAAATTCCCAGCCACAGAGAGGATGTTTCCAAGAAAGCACTAAATTAGTGTGAGTTCTTTTCTCAGCTCTGAAATCAGCTCCAGGGCAGAAGACATGCTCTTCACCTTCCTCCTGTCCATGTCAGTTGAACATACCGATCCACTAAGTAGAAGTCTTTGTCCAGACATTGAGGAATCTGTTGCCAACAGTTATCTTTGAACCTCCCCATCAAGCTTTGCTGCAGGCAAAGCTTCCAGAAAAAAACCCCATTTATATGACTAAATGAGAACTGCAGGTCACGATGCCATGGCAGACACCTCACTTCAACCCATTCACTAAGTCAGTTGTCAAATCCTACAGCGTCAGTAGCTGCCTTCCTCACCGACACAGCTCCTGGTGGGTTTTCATCTCCCCAAGGTACTTGGCATAAAATGACACACTCTTACTGCACTAGACATGTATATTCTGAATTTTAGCCCAAAGATATTTTTCTTTCTTCAAAGCATTTTTGTGTCATTACATCTGAAACACAGCCTCCATTGTGAAAGAAAGAAGTTCTGGCTTTAAAATGGGATTGTAAAATAGAACTTACATCATCTCAAAGAAGCCAACTCCCATCTACGAACACGGTAATTTTTAAGTCTTCCAACACTGGGAAGAACTGTAAGTAATTTTTGAGTGGGCTGGCAAGGCTGAGGACTGCCTTAATTGTAGTTTCTCTTGGAAAAAACTGTTTTACGGATACACTTTCCTACTCCCAATTCCAGTCATCTCTATTGCTTTTGGGGGATAAAGGGAACAAAGTAATAATCTAAAGGTCTTTTTCACTGAAGATCAAAGAATGCTAATACTTTCATACAGAAAGCAGAAGTTCAGTACAAACTGCCAGCTCAGAGTAGGGACATAGGCAGATCTTGTACATGTCCAACACTGGCTTCGTCATGATGAGCCTGTCCCTTCAATATAGAAAATGGAATGTTATTATTTTAGGGATAATCTCTTTGAACCACCTTGCTGGTCAGTTCCTATCAGGGCTGCTTTCTAATAGAGTGGGCACGGCAGGTGTGGAAAAGTCTGCAGAGAAACACCTGCCAAGGCAAATCTCTGGAACAGCATGCAATACACCCAGGGGTGGGGAGAAGGACTTCTGTTTTTCCTGAGAACATGCATTCTGCCAAAGCCATAATCAGGACGACTTCCAGGAGCTTGGGGTAACTTGGTTTTGAACAGAATGGGAGCTGTAGCCATCCATATTCCCAGAGGCTTGCTCCTTCTTTCACTAGCAGCAGGTGAGCTATGGCATTGAAGACCATTGAACCACAAACCTATGTTTGCATTCAATTCTCCTTTCAAGAAACTCCACTGGCACATGCCAGGATACACCTGAAGAGTTATAGAAATAACTAAATTGTAGCAGAAAGATCATAAAAACGAGGGCAGGGATGGAGAGCAGATTTATTACATCTCAGGAAAATAAGGCAACCCTCTCCCTTTATTTTTTTGCTAGTAAATTGAGCATCAGAACCAAAGCCATGAATCATTTATCTGCAAATACCCCCAGTGCCTGTGAATACTGTCAGACTCCTCACTTGCTGTGTGCTGGCACTGGGACATACACAGGTGTCCTGCAAATGCTGCCCTGTTGAAAAGTTTCCCAGCACCAGAAGGTTATGCCAATCTCTTAGAGTAGGATACAGCAAACAACAGTTTCTGCTGTGCGGGAAGGAACCACTTCTAATTCCAACTCTGTGGCTTGCATCGGCTGGCAACGACAAAGAGACAATTAGTTACAAAGAAAGTATAATGTAACTCCATCACTCCAGAGACAGAGCCTTAAGCGGCTCCTTTCCTGAGAAGATGGGCACTGCACAGAAAAACGGTTGCTAGTGGAAGTAGCCTGAATAACAGACTTCAAGAAGTATTTGGCACTTAGGAGTTCAAGGCAGGAAAATATAAGGAAAGCCATCTTTTGGCCAAGGAATGGTACAGATGTTAATTCTTCTGTAGACACTTTTCATTTTCTCTTTGTGCACAAGGGGCACAGGAGCAAAATGGATCTGCAAGTTATTATGTGCTGCATGCAATATA